CTACTAAAATTATCAAAAAATATACATAACCTTAATGAACGAATACACTATGGCGAAAAAAATTTTATTTGAAGGACAAATCTCTATTTTTAATTTTGTAGTTGTAGGAAGACTGCGAAAAAATCATGCCTTTGAAATTTTTGAAAATTCAGTTATGTTATTCTATTACAAGAAATTTAAAGAAGGAATTTGGAGACATTTTTGAGAGAATATTGAAAATGTCCGAGGAATTCATGCCAAGAACCTCCAAATTTTGAAGAATGGTTTTCAAAATCTCAAAGTTTCGACTCAAGCCAAATGGACAGGAGTTTCTTCAATTTGGAAAAAATCCTAAGCATGGTTTAGGCGCTGGAAGAGTTCACAAACACCAGACGGACGGACGGGCAGGCTGTCAGACGGACGTTTTGAAAGAAAAAATAATTTGGTGTCTGGGGACCCCAAAACGTTTATTTCTATTGAAATCGATTTTACGCAGAATTATATAGCTTTCTCTATACAACGTATATTCTCTGTATATACGTACGTATACGAGAAAGTAAAAACAATGAAGCGCTATCGAAGCTGTTATCTTACGACGAAAGGCAATTCACGAGTGAGCAGCCAGAATTTTCGTAATTATTTTGAATTAAATTGCATATATTAATGTATACTATTATTAGCCAAGCGAGTGCACATCGCTGCGCCGGTAATAGCCCGTTGCTCGCTTCTTGGTTGAATTGAGGATCATTTTTTGAGGATTGTTTTCATATAATAGCCGAGGTGCTAATAGCGCAGAAAAAAACAATATTTCAATATTATGTAGCTGTTCTCAATATCGCGAGACAGTACGTGCAGTTGTATCACCACGGTTTTGTTTATATTTCTTGAAATAATATTGTGACATACACTTATAAAGGTGCAATAGGTATGATTTTCATGGTTAACACTAAATGTTTGATAATTGCAAAAGTTTTAATTTTTTCGACGTCTTCCTACAACTACAGAAATCAAAATAGAGATATTTCTTTCAAATAATGTTCTTTCTTCATAGTTACCACTTTCATCGAGCTCATGTGTATCTTTTGACAATTTTAGTTGTCGCACAATATATTAATATAATATATTAAGGGAATGCAAAATATGTCCAGGATTTTCGTATCCGAAAATCAAAAACATTAATGCCATACAACAGGTGAAATATGAGGAATTACTTAAAGATTAAAATAAAAAGGAGTCATCGGTGATGCAATCTATTATAAAATGGAAATATTACATTGACAAAATAAATTATGTACAATTTAGAAACATGTTCGAAAACAAACTATATTAAAAACATGAAACATTGTTGATATAAGACAAGAGAGGCCTAGATGCATGGGCGACAAGAGCGCATCGAATAAGAATCAAACAAGTGAACTTTTTAACATGGCGGGTGAAAACGAACACTTTAAAAAATAACTATATTGAATTTGGTAACGTGGGGATCTATGGCCGTCAGGGTGTTATGTAAAAACATTTCCTTTTAGTTTGTGAGAGATAGAAAATGGACATGTCATTGAAGATAATTACAGGATAGGGAAATAAGTAAGTTAAAACAGATTAACGAGAAAAGAATAATATTCGGGAAAAATTTAGATCGCGCGTTGTAGCACAACGTATAAAGTAAATTCAGTGTGGTTATATGAAGAACTTCAGTATGGAATTATGGAAATGGTCGCTGAGCTACTCACAACGCCAAGATTGCTGAAATATCTTTGCATAGGAAAGATTAGACGATAAGTTGCAAACAGAGTATAAAGAATACAGCGAGGCCAAGACATGTTTAATTATGAGGCATAAAATTTAAGTTTGAAAAAGAGTTATCGTTTTTCTGCATAAATATTCAATGGCCATCAAAATAGGTAGCATTAGAGAAAATACAAAGAGATATTGTCAATTATTAAAAAGAAAAAAGAATATCGAAATAAAAATTAATTCTGCAGCAGACACTTTATGTCGCTGATAATTGCATAACAAATTACATGGTGTTTGATTTTGATTTTGATTAGTAAAAGGAATAATTAACAGAATATTTCCTAACAAATTTAAATTATCACCATCCTAATACTCTTAAAACGAGAATATACTGAGGTAATATAAGCATGTAAACGCCCAAAATTCTTAATAAAAAAGTAGAGCTAGCTACTCCATTAAATTCAATAATCAATAATGAGGCAACGTAGGGAGAAATATAAATGGGATTATATTTAGGGAAAAGACGAATTGTCGCAGTTGATTATATTAGGGAGCTGAATTGAACAGTCACAATGGCATGCCCAACGCGGTGCAAAATATAGTTCATTTAATTAGAGAGGGAAAATGAACTGTCATAATGTGCATTATTGAAAAAACAACAACTAGGTTTTCTGGAAAACTGCTCCAGCTATTTAGGAAATTGTGGGTCTTTGATACTGAAAAAAGGATGTTTTTAAAACGTCCGTCCGTCTGAACGTCCGTCCTGAATATGTGCGTCACTAGTGCCTAAACTAGGAGTGTCCAATGAGCAAGGCCTCATGTCACAACAATAACCATTCACATGGTTGCGGGCCATATGTTCATTACTCGGGCGATGCACGCGTGTCTGTGTTGTGAAACCCATTGAGACGATTTGAAAATCTGGACTTACTAGCAAGCAACTCATTAAATCTAAACCTAACCTATTCTTACATTGAGGGGTGTTGACGCCGACGGGCCGCGAGCGATGGCGCACGTTTTCGCCTGACACGATCCACCTTTGATTAACCTTTCACCTTTGACTAACTACCCTTCGCGGCCCACCATAAATGGAAGCGCGGGCCGCCATTTGCATAACACCGGCCAACACTAATGTATGATTGTTTCCAAAGAAACTGTAGGATTGTTTCCAAAATAACCCCTTTTAAAGCTTTGCGATTTAGAAAAAATAATCCTTTATTTTGGGGGGTATATTTACATGAAGCCATAAGACATTTTCAAAATTTTCTCGAAAATGGTTCCAAATGTTATCATTAAATATCTTGCAACAATAGAATGAAATGTATTTATAGGGATGGCATAGTTTCCATTTTCATTGTTTACTTGGAATTTTTGAAAATTGCAAAAGTGGATTTTTTCGGCGTCTTCCTACAACTACAAAATTGAAGATCTTTTTTCCTTAAAATAAAATTTGTTGTCAATACTTAGTTATTTCATTGAGTTCATGTACATTGTTTTGAAACTTTTAGAAGTTTTTGCGCAATACTGCGTACAATTTGTGCACTATAAAAAATAACAAAAACAGTAATTTTTCTTTACACTTTTGTTATTGCTAAATGTACTCTAGAAGATGACATAAACGCCATTTCCTCGATTTTTTTGTTTTTTCGAAACTTACAAAATGTAATTTTTTTGACTTCTCTCTCACGTCGCCAATATTTACATTAGCTGCGATTTATTCACATTACTGTATTTATGAGTACATGTGCTTCAAATGACAACTAATAGTTTTTCGAAAACAAAATTTTTCTGTGAAAATAAGCTCAAAATTCCGCTTTTTCAGAAATGCTCAAAAGGCCATTATCTCCACAACAACACCAATTTTTTCATCAAACTTTTCGTGCGGATAATGCTAATTGCACTGTTTTAGGCGCACAAATAATTTTGGAGTATACGTTTGTGTTTTTGAAAAATTACACAAATGTATTTGGTGAGTTGAAGAGCTTCAAATAATTTTCAATAAAGTTTTTCTTAGACGCAAACGATTTCTGTGAAAAAGAGCTTCAAATTTTGCATTTATAGTAAACGCATAAACGACTACTTCTTATAAATGACCTACAACTTTTCAAGGATAATTTTCATTTAAGACGAGGTTTTACTCATCTATAATCTTCTTAAATTGAGAAAAATTGAACAAAACACTACTTAGGGTGGCGATGAGTGGCAGCAGGCGAGAGTGTGGCAAGCACGAAAAGGAGGCCAAGACCAAAGAACTTGGAAAACAAGTAGTACTAGAAAGTCATTATGAAGTACTACAGTAAAATTTGTCAAAACCGGAACCTGCAGAAGCCGGAAACGTGCCTTAACCAGGAAATTTCCTTCGCCCGTGCAGTTAAAAGGCATTTTACACAGCATACATTTGAATCTGTCCAACGCGGAAACGGAACGTTTTTTCATGTCCAGCGGGGGAAGAAAATCTTTCATAAAACGTAATTCCTACGAATTTAATGCGATTGGCAGAGAGTCACGAGAATATCTTAATGGAAGAAATGCATCTGCATGTCAGTTTTAATTTCTATGTCTAAGTGATGAGTTTTAGTCGGGCAGTCGCACAGTGAAGGCGAGTAGCTTCATTTGTCAGTGTACAATTCGACTTTGGGGTTGCTTGTCTCACAAGGCGTAGGCCTTGGAGGAATTGCATCTCTCCCGGCGCTCTAAGCGTGGGAAGGTGAACGAATGGCTTGTATTCATGCATCTACCGGTCCCCCACGCGGTCAATCGTCACTCGACGATTGGCATTGGCCAAGGCCATGCGAGAGCATCAGAGAGAAATGGTTCTCTGGGTTGTGACGCATTGGGTGTTGAAAAAGTCAGCGAAGAGTGCGTCTGGGTGCTGCCACTAGGCAGTAAGGAGCGTTTTTATGAGTTTCCCAACAACTTTAACAATGGTTGAAAAAAATCCTAAATATTAAAATTGTTCAACTTCAGAAAACATAATTGAAAAGGTATTAGTAAGAGGGAAAACCAAAAAGCAATAATTGTAAATGTCTGTTGGAAAAAAAATATTTTAGTGCACAAGTGAAGTATTTACTTATAATGGTGAGAAATATGTTTAAAATTCATTTCGTGGTAATATCTTCCTTAAATATGTTACATGTTAATATATTTTATAATTATAATAAAGTGATGTTATTTACTAGTTTCAGAAAGCAAGTAACAATATATATTCAGAAGAGGCAGGATTGTTTTTGGCAAATGAGTGAATAAAATGTTTACAATCTGGGCTTGAATAAGAATACCGGAGGGGCATGCGAGGAGTGCCCCGGTGGGCGCGCGAAGGCTGCTTGGACCGCTCTCTCGTCGCGTTGCAGATCCGCGTGTTCACCGACACCCGGCAGCCGATCATGGCCTTCCTCGGAGTGCCCTACGCCGCGCCGCCCGTCGGAGAGCTGCGCTTCGCGGTGAGTACCCTTCCCCCAGCGCTCCCACCGCCGCCCCCATCGCCCCTACTACCGCCCGCGCCCCGCCGCCGCCTCGCGGCTGGTCAATACTTAATGCCCAGCCAGCCAGATTAATTATACACGAGGCGTGGCAGCGGGCGGCGCCGGGCGGCGCCGGGCGGCGGCGACGGCGGTGGGCGGGTCTGCGCAGGCCGCGCGAGGGCCCGGGTTCATTATTAAAAGCCGCCGCCCGCCGCACCCCACCCGCCGCGCGACTCGCGGAAAAATCTGGAAGAGCCGTCGGAGTCTCCCGAGCCCTGCCATATTTATACCACGAGATGGGCTTCGGATCGTGGTGGCGAGGGTGCGGCAAGGGATTGATGCCGAAGTGGCGGAAGGGGGGGGATCGGGGCCTCCGCAGTTTACTTTTAAGATTTGTTGGTCGCCAGGAGCGGAGGGGAGAAACAAGGAGAGGGAGTGGGCGCGGGTGAGGGAGGCAGAGGCCGGAGGATCGCCTGAGTCGCAGGAGGCAGGCGGAATCAGGACGACCAGGGAGGAAATGAACGATGTTGTCAAGGGAAAAGGACGGAGCGGAAACGATGGGGACAAGAAGACTGTGGAAGCGCGTGAATATCTGGGTTTGATGGAAATGGTCACGAACTTTAGTGGACCACAAAGAGCGTTTGCAAGAAATGTGCCGTCAAATAAAGAATGCGCAAACGAGAAACGAAGTGGTAGAATTCCTGAAAAATAATTAGCAAGGCGTGAGTGTGATTAGAAAGGGCGCGTAGGAACTGAGGAGATGGAGTAGGCGCGGGCAAGAAGGGGGGGGAGGAAGGTCGGAGGATCGCGAAGCGAGGAGTAAGCAAGCACATGGGTTTGGGCACGTTCTGCAGGTCCCCCTCGTGGTGGCTGTCCAATTGTTGGGTAGGGAGTTAGTGGGTGTGGAGGTGCTGTGTGTGGAGGGGAGTGGGGGAGAGGGGATGGGGGAAGATGGGGAGAGTAGAGAAAGTGGGTGTGAAAGTGGAGGGTACGGAGGTGCGAGGGTAAGGAAGTGATGGGAGTGGAGGTGGTCGGTGTGGGGGTGGTGGAATGGAAGTGGTGGGTGGGGAGAGTGGAGGTAGTGAGTGGAGAGGTTGAGAGTAGGGAGGTGGAGGGTAAGGAGGTGGTGGGAGTATGGGGGTTGGGGCGGGGGGTGGTGGGGATAATGTGGAGGTGGGGAGGGTAGAGGTAGTGAGAGGAAGGTGGTGGGGGTGGGGGTGGGGGGTGGCGGAGGCCGGAGATGCGCGAGGCGAGGAGTGAGCGAGGGCGTGTGCGAGGCGAGGGCTGGTCGCATGCCGCAGGCCCCCGAGCGCCACGCAGGCTGGAACGGGTCGCTGTTCGCCGGCAGCTGGCGTGCCGCCTGCCCGCAGCCCCAGGCAGCCGCCTCCGCCGCGGGCCCTGCGCTCACCGACGAGGACTGCCTCACGCTCAACGTGTGGGCGCCCGACGTGAGTACTCCCGGGCCACGAGCCACGAGACCCGATGCTCAGGGTCGACGTCATAACCTAGTCACTTTTGGCACGCGCACGTTGTTGAATTTGCTATGGTGGCGAAGCGATGCTACAAGGATTGAATCGTAATCGTTATTATGAATTAAAGACTTTTTCTAAAGAAAATTTACCAATGGTGTGTAATATGTCTTCTCTTATAGAGACACTTGGCAAATAACCACCCAACAGAAATGTGTATGTTCAATGATTTACCAAAGTCGTTTTTCTCCATAATAGATTCCCATCAGCGCCTGAGCTCCATTCTGTAAGTAAAATGAATGGGATGGAGTAGTTTTAGTAATTTGAAGGTATTTTCACATAAGCTTAGTCTGTAGCTTTTTTTGCGCGATAGTCAAAACAACAATAAGAAACATTACATAACATTTGAAAAGAATGTCTGAACCATTTGTTCATGGCGCCTGGGCGTTGCGTTACGCGAGTTCAAATCGGTCTTCGAGTTACGAAAAAAGTCATCGAAGTTTCGAAGCGCCTGTTGAAGATAGCGAAGCGAAGAAAGGTACTTTTTTTAAGTTCGAAGATTTTTTAAAATGCAAAGACTAATGAGAGTATAGAAAGGCAATGTCCAACAATCATTTGATATGTGTCCTTTTACAAAAATGTCCAATGATTATAATTATTTGTGATGCACGATGCTTTTAAGTTGAGGTGAATAGCAGGTACGGGCTACTACAACCATACATGTAGGAATCTGGGTTAATATAATACATTTCAATGACATTTTCAGAACATGCTTTACTCTTTATTCGCAGTTAATACTGATTATTTCAGAATGTATAAACCTCACTTATTTTATTTATCTTGGAAAATAAGTACAAAACGTCATGAAACAATATAAGGAACGAACAGAGAGCCAAAATACAAAGGAATTAATAAATGTCAGCAACAAGGATTATGGAAGTAAATTACTTTCTTTTATATTTTGTCATTAAATTTGACATTGCTGAAAAAACATTTCAAAGTTAAAACAATTAAGTATATTTACATATATGTTAATTTATAATTGGTTATTTACGAATAAGTGTTTAAAAATGAATTAGGAACATTATAAAATATATAACATGAACTTAATAGATCGCCATAAATTATAAATAAGAAAACTACAGTTTTTTTAAATAAATGGATCTAATAATTTTGGTCCACTTTTTGACAATCTTATTGTAAACACTTCATTATTTCAGGATAACAATCTTAAACATGTAAGAAAAGGAATGTAAACTACAACCTAGACAATTGAGGTTAAACGGAATTTTGAGAATTGAAATTTTACCTCGAAAAGTTTTGAATTTTGAAATAATCTTTAGTGGTAAATTGGAGTGTAACCTGTTTTAACTCTGATAGCTAAACATAACACATTAGTTCTGGAATGAATTTGAAAACTCTCGGGAACACAGATTTTCTGGCTCTTATTCCTGATTTTTGGAATTTCATATATCCATGATGGTTGCAAAGCTGGCTCAATAGAAGCCAACCAGAATTTGTAGAAGTGGCAGCTGCTCGGTTTGCGACTGAGCTAGCCACACTTTCGCGCTCTGATCCATCTCAGAGGTGGTGGTTCTCCGGCGTGCCTTTGCGTAACTTCGCAAAGAGCGAGGGAAGCGTTTCCGCGAACTCCGGCCAACGCCGGCCGCTCCAATTGGCCCCGAAGGGAAAACGAGGGCTCTCGGAAGTGTGGCGCACGTGGCGAGGCTCTTCAAGCTAGTAAAGGGCAAATATTTGTTTGGTGAACGTACGGCAGGGATGTTACATGTTTGAAGGGAAACGTCTTTAAAACGGGTTCAGAAGATGTGAGCGTTTGGTAAAACTAGATGTACGAAAAAATGTTAAATTGTGATATTTATAACCGTGCTAACTGTGCGCCTCATTTTGGTGTCGTTTTGTGGAGGAAGGAAGCCATTACATGATTACGCATGTGTCGTGCTGTTGGTGCTCCATACAGATTGCAAATGAACCGCGCGGCCGAGAGAGGCGTATTTCTGTCGTATATTTGTTGCACTCAGCAGAAATTATCTCATTTAAGAGACCTCACTTTTTCAGAGCAGATGTAATTCATCCATAGCAAATGATGATCATTAACCGTTGTAATGCTTAAACGTTAAGTGTAACGTTTCCATAGAGTTTACGCTTGGTCGGCTGTGGTACCATTGAATTCGATATTAACGGTCTAGAAATGGCGTGAATAGAAACGAGAAGCAAGACATAGATTCAAATATTTCCCCACTCCCTTTTCACGTGAAATTTATTTCTTAATCAAACATCATGTAACTGCATTTAAGGAATACATGTATTATTTATATCGCTTTTATCTTTGCAACCATGCAACTGTAATAGTTGCACGGCATTCCATTAGTGTTGTTTTGTTCATTTTTCGATGACGCTCCTTTCGGGTGCTTAGATGGCGCCGCAGGCGCACACACTGCAATTAGGTAAACATTTACCGGCAATTGGATGGAGAAGATTCGCTAGGGACTCGCGTTTGGGAAGTGTGCCTTGCAAAAGAGAACTCCTTTAAGAGGAATCACTCTGGCAGTATGACAAAAAATCAAAATTTATCAGGCGGTAATGCAAAGTTAAAATGATGAACATTATCTATATTTAGTAGAAATTTCTCATGCTAATATGCCTCCGTATTAGGAAGTTATAGCCGCACACACCTCGTCTTAAGCGCGTCTTCGCTGCATATTCTGCCCCTGCGATTATGAATTAGCGACCGGAATTATTACATGAACGTTATCTCGTACAAGTGAATCAAATTTCTTAGTGTCAGTGAATGCATCCGCAAACTTGCGGGAGAACGTTGACATGGCAAGATAATCAGGTATCCTATTGTTAAATAGGATACTTGATTATGATGTCCAAACGAGGATATATGGCTAACTCATACTCGCGAGAATTTATTTCATCTATTGAAATTTTTGCAGAGCGTGGTCTAAAATGTAATTAACAATCACATGACCAGTAGCATGAGAAGCGGCGACGAAATCCGCGGGACCATTCACACCGGAGCATCAATTATGACACAGCGTTTGGAGACAGTTTTCCTCAACGGATAAACAAAACGCGCTCGCTTCTATTCATGCACGAGATGGAAAATGTCAATTCTCGTAGTACGTTTTCAAAGCATATGCGATATGGCGCTTTTACCTTCTCTATCTACGATTTTCCATCAAATGTTAATATCTCAGCAAACGAAGAAAAGGGGTAAAGGATTTTGACCTAGAAAGGAAAAAGTGCGAAGAATAGCATACCTTGATGCCGCAAAAGACGAGAAACACTTTTGTATTTGGTAAAATGACCAGTAACTGTTAATGACATTACTGACATTATTAAAGATAAAAATAAAATTTTGAGGACAAACAATTAAAAAATCAAATTTTAATGTTATTTTAAATTAATTAAATTACTGAACACGATTAGTTGTATTTTTTCTGATCATTCAGTCGTGTCACATTCATTGGCGAGGTGACAATATACGACATATAACGAGTCTTGGCCTTGGTTTCCACAGCAAAATTGGCTTCGTTTCCACAACAGAGTTCTGCGCAAAGGCAAGGGAGCTCGACCCTGAGGGGAGCGAATTATCCCGAAGGCGGGCGGACTTCCACGAAACTCGAGCGGCAACGGAAAATACACGTCCGACTGCTTTACAAAACCCGCCGCGGATTAAACGCTGCCAATGTGCTGACGCGACTTTCGCCTGCAGCGCAGGTCTGAACGTGCTCATAAGGAAACACATGACGCAAACTGCCGCTGCGGCCATTCCGCAGAGGCTGCGGATCTTCCGCGCCGGTCTGTGAGAGCCTTAATACATTGCAATAACGAAGCATTGACGGGGCCACTAGTACACTATAAGGAACATACGACTTATAATGTGAGCAAACATGTTCATTGTGTATTTTTACGCCGTCTCTAGGGCATTATACACCCCCCTCTGCAGAACTCACAAGATATTTTTTGTTTTCTGTGGCTGCATCTGCAATACCGGCTGCTAGGTTTTTTACACATTAGTTTCAAGTCTGTGAAGATGCGCTCTATGTATGTATCTGCCATTTTTTGTTACCATTAACATTGAACAGCTTTCAGGGACCAATTTATTTTATTTTATGCTGCAATATTCTTATTACGCACTTTTCCTGAAATCCATTCAATATTTACATTTTTACGTCAAGTATGTAGCAATTTTTCTTTTGTTTGGTTTGTTATTTTTATATCTCTTATACTACACAATGTTTTTAAGTGCGTTAGATGTATATATTTTTGTGCGTCGATGCAGAACTGCTACAAGGAAGCGTAGATGTTTTTATTCACCCATTTCATAACCATGTGATGAACTCTTAATTGAGTAGCACAACAATTCGCGATGAACTAAAGTAGAAGTGGCAAACGGAACACAAAAACCATGCCACCAAATCAGTAAAGGTTTGAACATGTCCACTTGTGATTAGGGAGGTAATGAACAAATTCGCCTTACTGTTGGCAGAGGAAGAACTTGCCCCTTGGAGGTTTGCACGCTTTCCTCACACCTCTCCCGCACAGAGCTCAAATCCCAATTCACACGCGGTAGTTAGATTTGCGGCGTGAGTATTCTGGGCAATATTTTCAGACTTACTATCGTTTCTACTTTCTTTCCTGCCTTTTCTCATCATTCATCGTTTTACACTTTATCCTGGGTTCTTTTTCAATTCAATGTTGCTGTAGTTACTGGATGCGCAATTATACCACTGAGTAAACATACATTTGTTCTGACTAGCCGAACGATTGAATCGATGATATTAGTACTGATTATTCACTTATCAGTCGATTCTATTTTTTTTTTAATTTATCATCTTGTAATATTAATATGACTTTTTAAGATAAGTAATGGTTTGAAAATGAAAATTTTAAGAGTGCATTACACGTGTTAATTACATAATTTAAAACATTAGAGACATTTTAATGTAATTCAAAAAACCACCTACTTAAGTCTAAAGAAGTGGTTTTCGCAACTAAGTGCGGCTATTCATCCCTGTGCCGATATAGTAATAGTAGAGCATTGTAGAACACTAACTGCCGCAGTCGCCGCACTACCGCCCGCTGCCCGTGGTGGTGTTCTTCGAGGGCCAGGACTTCGTGACGGGCGCCCCGCAGCGCTTCCCCGGCCACGACCTCGCCGCCGAGGGCCTGGTCGTGGTGGCCGCCAGCTACCGCCTCAACGTCTTCGGCTTCCTCGCGCTGGGCGACGCCGTCGCCCGCGGCAACCTGGGGCTGCTTGACCAGTGAGTGCAGCGCTTCGCCGCTCCCGCGTGGCCTTGGCCCTGTTCCTCTTCAGCCATTCCATTGCATTGGACTTATTGCAACAAAGAACAGTAAAAACTGTATGTGACGAATGGCAAGAAGTATTCTTCGCCCAAGTTTTCGTCAGATTCAGAATCTCTTCCTCGTCTTTTAATCATAAATATTTGAATGGGGACTAAAAGTACCAACAACGCGAGGTTAGCATCATTTGAAAAGTAGACATTTTCACTCCACAGTTATTTGCCTTGGTAAACAACATCATAACTACATAATTGAATTTTTAGAATTGCTAACAAAATAGTAACCCACACCCCTGGCTGAACTACCACAACTGCATTTGAAACTACTATTGATGAAATACTGTTCGTTTATTAATACAAGTAGCAATAAATGGTGTCTTCACAACATTTTGATTTTGTTACTAGCAACCAAGAGTATTTACGTTAAGAAAACCTAAATTTCTTAACACACTAAAAATAAAACAAAAATGAGACATTCAAGTTAACTCTGTTTTTAACATAAATAATGACATATTTATTTACAAATAGTTTACACAGTTCCCAATTAACGGACTTATTTCGGACTTAGTAATTTTCCTGAATAATATTTACATATTACTAATCTAACTTTTATTGCACACGTTTTACTATTTCACTGTGTCAATGATAACATGTTCTCCATAAGGGTTTGATAAATTTCTTTAGATTTATTTGTCTTGAAGGATGCATTTGCAATGACGTAAGCAAGTTCTTAATTTTTTAAATGTTTGACTTCATGAACTTTAAGCTTTACGTGAGTATTTAAAATAAGTTTTAATGAGTTTTTATTTCATTCAGCCTCACCTTTTTTTGTGAGTCATCATTAAGATCCCCATAAAAGGTCGTCGCCCAGTTGCATAACATAAACCTTTCCAGAAACGGAGTATACATAAATGAAACTTAAATTATACAAAATAAAAATGTATACATACATAAATGAAACTTTAATTATAATAAATGTGTCATAAACAAAAGATCTTACCGTTAAATAAAAACTAGCAAGCGAAATATCTCGGCATAATAATCCATACCGTACATTGAAATGCCACATTAAAACGATTTCGCAATATAACGCATGTGAAAATTGCAAAATTATATCCACTAATAAAATTTATGTCACACTCAACATGACACAAAAGGTGAAATTAAAATATTTAAATAAATATTTATATCACTAATTAAACCACACCAATATTCGCTTGCTCAGTCTTTGAAAAACTACAGATTAAAATATATGTTCAAGACGTGCCGCAAAAGCCCCCTTTGTAGATTTAAAAAAAAAAACATAAAAAATGAGTTGCAAATGGCAAGAAAATGTACGTTACAGAGTTACATTACATTAACGGTGTGATATCCGTAAAACCATGCGGCGCAGGTACGTGGTGCTGCTGTGGGTGCGCGAGAACATCGCGCTGTTCCGAGGAGATCCCAACGCAGTGACGCTGATGGGCCACGGGGCGGGCGCCGCCTCCGCCGCCATGCACCTCACGTCGCCACGCACCGCGGGTGAGCACGGGGCCCGCGCGGGCGCGGCGCCGGGCGGGCACACAGCCCGAGGGAAGATTCGCGGTACAGGAAACTATAGCGTAATTTAAAACTAGTGACGCTACAACAGGAAACACTTTCTCGCATTATTTGTAACTCGTATTATTTGTATTAATTGTCCAAAATTGAAAGAGTTCAACGAAAATGAAACTTGTGCCACTTTTTTAAGTGTACTTTTCTCTATTTGAGAAAAAATTAAAGAAAAATTATGGATGTGTTGTTTAGAAGAAAGAAAGAAATTGCCTAAACTTGAAGCAAAAATTACACAAAACCTACTCTTGGTTTCAAATAAAGGTACAGAACATTAAGATATAATTTTGGAACGAATTTCGTTAAGGATAGATATCTATCAGCAATATTTTAGTTTCTTCATTTTTGTTGTTGCAATTTTTGAAAGTACAATGAATTCATCAAATATGATACCTGCGTTATATTTATAAATGTACTTTATTCTATTCGAAAAAATATAATCAAAAAATTTCAAGCCATTTTTAAGAAAATTGTGAAAATATTGCTAAAGCATTATTTAAAGTACCATCAAAAATCAAAATATTTGTTTGGTGAAAATTCTGCTTAAAGTCTAGCCGCTAGCTTTATTCAAAGGACGGACAGACAGGCACACTTTTTGGCGTAAACTAAGTTTTGGAATGATGGACCCTCAAAATGAGGACTCTAACATCCCAATGTTCTGGAAAAAAATTACTACACGAGTAACAACTTTTATCCACTTTTTTGATACCAATAAAATATCGGGTTTTACTTTAAATATGAGGTTTGTTGACGCGTTAATTACGTACGTACGTGAGAAGCGAGAAAGTAAAACATTTATTTTTCCTCCCCGAGACTCATTTAGTACTTCAGGGTACTAAATGCTAGCCAGAGATTTTTGGTATCACTGGGATGATCCACATGCGAATGGATAATCGCTCAGCCCTGAGGAAGCAATCAGAACCGGATAGGTAGGGAAGGATTGCGCAAGGTTCTTGGTCCGAATTCTAAAATACTGCTCTAGCATCCACCTGGAAGTTATCACAAAAAACCATAGAAACTACTGGTCCGAGGAGTCGACAAACTCATCCGATGTCAGTAGGTGCCGCAGACTGATTTTAAGTACATAACAAAAATGTTTGGCCCCCAGTCGGCGTCGGACCCGCGATCAGAAAAAAAGATTTTCGATTCAGTAGCAAGCCAGTAATACGCTTCATTTGTAGATCGGAGGTAATCTTAACTCATCTATAAGTGAACCAAATAGACAAAAATTAGATGTGAGAAGACCGGGACTGTATCTGGGAAGCTCTGAGACCTCGAAATACGGATTTTGAAGAGCATTGGTGGCGGTGAATGGATTAACGTTGTCTTAAAATAAAAGAATGTCTCTCTCCGATCCATCTCGGCGTTCTCACATTCGGAACCTAACATGCATGTGCTTTGCCAATTCCTCAATAGTCACTCTTCGTTATTCATAATCAGAACACAAACTTCTTTAATATTGGGATCAGTAGTGATCAGGTTGGACGTCTGGTTCTTTTCTCATTCTGTGTACTTATTTGATTGCTTTGGTCAAGTCTTGTAAAATTCTTAACGCCCCTCCGCCCGAAAAAATGATTACATCTTTTGGTACACATTAAGAACACAGAAAAACGGATTATGAAAGCCTGATATTTTGTAGTGCAAAGGAGAGGGTGCAGCCTTGCTTACGTCGCAACAGTTCAAGCGGACATTACAAAATGAAAAATGTCATTTTAAGACTGATAAGTGCTCAGAGCTGTAGTCAACAGCTACAGAAAATTAGAAAGAAAGTGCAGATCCTTATTTTCTTAGCTTTTTATATTTCTAAATATTTTGATGGTGTATCTTTTTTCACGGTTGTCTCAGAACTATTGCCGTTCTCCATATCCCCGATCTGTCGTTGGTTTATAGAACTTAGGAGGATCGGGGATCAGTCCAATGGTCGGCTCTAATGCGATTGGTACAAGCAGGGAAGGAAGGGCAGCGCGTTTCTTGGACCGACGTGTAGTTAATGTTCCGGCGCCTATCTTCACTAAGGCTATAAAGGTACCATGTACAAAACAAGAACTAAGAATAGAAAGAGAACTAACCGGCGAAGGGAAGAAACCACATCTTGCCGGTCCGGTTGCCCGAAATCGCTGAGGCAGTGTCATAGCGATCTCCGACCGAAGGATCGTGAGTCCGAGCCCCGCTTCGGGCATAGTAGTATTGTCTTCGTCCTTTCACACTATCATCATCATCATCATCATTATCATCATTATATCGTGTTCTCCTCACAGTTACCATACCGTTACTCGCAATAGTGATCGATAATGACCTGGAAGTTAATGCGACCTTAAATTAACAACAAAAAAAACTTTTTAAATTCCTACACTAGTCACCCATTGATTTAATAATAATAATTTATTTAAATTAATTACTCTGCCCAATTGGTTTTAAAATCAGCCAATGTTTCGCTCCTACGTCGCATTTCAATCACAAAATTTAAAAAAAAATACTTTTTACTGGCGAATAATAGAATCACTAACATTGTTTGGTTACAACTACTTTATATTAATTGATTCCAAGGTTTCACAATAAACTACCAATTGAAAATAAGAGATAAAGAGAACTAATCTTAACTGAGGCTATCAAAGTACCATGTATAAAGGAAGTAAATCATAGAAAAAGAAGTAAATGGTGAAATTCAAAAATATCGTCACAAGTGTCTAAACTATACATTTATTGATTTATTAATATTTTGTTTAAATTTACTACTCTGCCCAGTTATTTTTAAAATCAGCCAACGTTTCGCACCTACATATTTCACCCACAAAATTAAACAAAAATACGTTTTACCGGCGAACTACAGAACTACTAACACAATTTTGTTACTATTACTTTTTTATTTATTGATTAAATTATTGAAGAATTTAAAAAATCTTAAAATTACGTTTTACTGGCGATATAATATAATATGTATTATTATGTCCATATACTATCATGTCTCTATCGTGCATTGCTTCCCGTCACCATTGTTGTTTTCGTCATGGCTTTTATTTACCAACAAACATGATCAATTATATTCCTCTCTTGTGTTGACCAATTACAGAATACATTTGAACATGAATACCAACTTATTTATTTAATGAAATTTCTCTTAAAATTGTAAGTGATATATTTTCTGTTTTGTTGCATTTTTCTATTACATTTAAGTAAAAGGTGCGGCCGGCTGCCTCGCGGAGCAGGTATCATGTGCGCATCCGTCGCGGCCTGCTGCAAGAGCGCGACACAACCTTAGAATGTCTATTGTATTTGCTTTCAATTAAGTGTATTGCTTTTAAAACAAATGTCAGGGCAAAGTCCAACTTTCAAACCACAATGTAGGCTCTCGTCGTTTCGCATTCTTGTGTCATACCACACATCGTTTCTGTTGTTTAATTTTGTCGCCTTTAGGTGGTATTCTTTCAAGGAAGTGTGTTCCTGAAAAGCGATGTAAATCACTTACCAAACGACGTTCACATACAGCTCTTTTGTCATTTGAACCGATAACAATTGCTCAACCAGATCAATACGAAATTTCAAAGAATCAATTTTTGTCCCAGTATGATTGTTTTACTAATAATAAATGTATTCAACACAGTTGCGTTTAATAATCTTCTGAACCTTTTCATATTCCATTTCTTGTTTTTTTCCTCTCAATTAGATATGTTTGCAAGTACTGATCTTTCTGATCTACCCCTCCCATACATGTAAACATGTTTTACATGTAAAACATTTGGTCTTAGGATTGCAAATGTAAAAAATGTAAACCCCAGTTGTGTTTTACCCATTCTAAAAAGGACGCTATAGCAAAACTGTGTGACTAGTTTGAGACACTAATGACAGAAGTGACTAGCTTTTTACTTACCAATATTTATAATGTTGTATTCTCTCGCATACCTTTCTTAATTTTTCTTGGCAAATAGTGTTATCATTACTTTGTCAGCTTCTAATATTATATCCGTAATATGTTCAATACCTTCCATATGAAAATAGTTCTTGTAAGAAAAGGCAGTGCAAGGCCCACTAATATATATATATATATTTCAGAAGCAAAACGTCATCAAATGTATAACTCGAAAGGTAAAGATGTGCTTGAATTCACAAAATTTAAATTAGTCTTAAATGGAAACGAAAAATTTTGAAGGCAACAGGTGAATAAAGGGGTATAATTGCTCATGGAATATAATAAAACTCGCTTCTATCGTTGCTTTTGATCATACCACTTCATTAACATACTGCTCATGAAATTATAATCCCCTCTTTATCCACTCATTTCGTTAATTAATATAATTTTCATAGAATTGAATTGTTTGAAGCACAAAATGATAGAATACAGCTAATTATAACAAATGAAAGAAGAGATGTGCCAACTTGACAGATTTCATTATCATATAGGCGATTTGACTTGCGTAAAAGAGTAATTTATCGCTATAAAAACGTGAGTTTAATTTCAAATTTCTAAAGACTTTGGAACTTGACATACGTAACAAAAATCTATACTATTCACCAGGAAAGTTTCTTTGCCAATCCCAAAATTAAAGAAGCTGCATATTTTATACTTTCAACTTGTACCAACCAAGTCAATGTTCACAAATAAGACGATATGTTGTCGAAACCTCATACGAGCAGATGCATCTTGGTTCATTCTAGCGTTTTTTGTTTCCAACTATGATCATTCTTTGTGCAGAGTACCGAACAAACTTAAAAATACGAACAACGGAAACAAACTTTACTGAACTATGTTCTAACTACATTGTGTTATGAATTTACTGTTTGCAAAATTCCCTCTCCCGGAACCTTGTATATTTTGCTTCGACACTAGTATTCACTGTTTATATTTCCTCAGCAACTCTTCCCGATGAGAGTGACTCTAAATTCGCCACACATCCACTTTCTCCCCAACTTCTGTTGTAAAATTTGTCTGAGACAAAATAATGTGAAGGAGATACAATGTCCAACTTTGGTAGTTGGAAATAAAGATTGTGGAATGGCAATATCAGACTCGCCTCTCCATAGTTAAAATAAATAATTAGAGAAGGTAAAAAAATTTTCAAACTTGGAGTACGTGCCAAGGTTGTTACGTCTTGAATTATGAGTTTCGAGGCGGATTCCTCGGCGCAGACGAGGATGCCGCAACCATCTGCGCCACGCGGCCGACATTACTTTATTATTATTATTATTATTATTATTATTATTATTATTATTATTATTATTACTATTATTATTATTATTATTATCAACTAAAGAATGGCAGTCAAACGTGCCAGCTAAATGTTCCGCCACCGGGAATTGATTTCATGGCAAAAAAGCCTGCTGACCATGAGCTTCTGGGGTATGTTGCTATACACATACTTACATACACATATTGTGTATGTAAGTAGCATCCTCTCCGGTGGCTCAAGGAGAGAATGACAGCTTTCTGTGGTGCGATCCTGGGCCTGAGTCCCGATTGGACCACAAATAGATCTGTAGCTTTCCATTACAGACGTCTCCGTCTCTTTTGCTGTGTAACGAAAGATAATCTGAGGCAGGACAAGAATACGAGATTCTCGCCACATGTTGCCCTCCTCCTCAGACGTGGATAATGAATAAAAACAGAGACCAGGCCTGGTAACACCGCTAGCCGGCAACAGTGGGATTATGATCTGGGTTGAGGTGCCGACATTTCGACCAACATATCTCGGTCTTCTTCATGATTGTATTGCGCCAGGATTTTGGGCGCCTGGGTTTATGTTCTAGATGGACAAGGCTGTGATTGGCTAGGTGACCGGCCAAGAAGACCAAGATATATGTTGGACGAAACGTCGGCACCTGAGTTTTCGACTCTGTGTCACCCGGACAGCGCAGATCATTACTCTGTCCTCGAAAGTCTACGCCATCAACTAAAAGTCGGATTAATCGGAACCTGAAATGCCCAATCCTTCCGTCCTGTTGTCGCTCCCCTGCCTTCGTGGGCGAGGGCTTGGGCTGCGATGGCGCGCGGGCGCAGGGCTGTTCCAGCGCGCGGTGCTCATGTCGGGGTCGTGCGCGTCGCCGTGGACGCGAGCGCGGCCCATCGCGCAGGTGGCGGCTGCGTCGCGCGGGCTGGCGCGTAAGCTGGGCTGCCTGGCCCCCGCCCCCGCGCCCGCGCCAGAGGACTCCGCCCTGCTGCTCGCTTGCCTGCGCGCCAAGCCCGCCGCAGAGCTCCTGCGCGCCTTCGAGGCGCAGTACCAGGTGACGCCCTCGCTATACCCTCACGCCCTTGGAACATACACACTTTAAAAAGGTTTTTTTTTTTGTTTTTGCGTGTTTCTTCCTTCGATAGCTTCAATTACTTCAGCCTTCCTGTGCTTCCTCGCTCTCCCTCTTCTTCTTTCGGTAGGGACTCGATCATTTCTACCATCTAAACCTTCAGTACCTCTTCCTTCCTTTTTTTGTTTCATAAAGAGCCAATTCAGACAATATTCGTATCAAATCTTATCATTTCCTGCAACACTACGAACTTTTTAGTTCAGTCCTTGAATATGACAGTATTCACTGTCTGTTGCCAATTTTTTTAAAATAAACAATTTTAAATGTGCTTAAAACTCTGTAATATTTGTGAATTTATTTCAATACAATTAACAAATATGTTTTTTAATGTAATGTTTTAAATACCTCCCTGTAAAACTTTATTAAACTACTAAACTGTTAAATATTTATTAAATACTAGCGCAAACCGCCAGATGTTCTCGTGCCGTCCATCTCCCTTTTTCACCTTCCCTACGTTTTTCCCTCTCCGTCACTCTGTATCTCTCTCTCCGTCTCTCTCTCTCCCTCCTTCTCTCTGTCCCCCACAATCCCTGTCTCTGTATGTCTCTCTCTCTCTCTGTCCCAGCCCCTCTCTGTCTCTCTCTGTCTCCGTCGATTCGGGTATATCAATATCTCTCTCTGGGTCTCCCCGTCTTCTCTCTGCCTGTCTCTCCCTATCTCTCCATCTGTCTCTGTCTCTCTGTCTGCCTATCTCTGTCTCTGCCTCTCTCTGTCCCTTTGTCTCCGTATATCCGGGTCTATCTGAGTCTTTCCGTGTCTCTGTCTCTCCCTGTTTGTCTTTCCCTGTCTGTCTGTCTGTGTGTGTATGCTCTGTCTTTTATCTCTGCCTCTCACTCCGTCTCTCTCTTCGTCCCTATCTCTCTCTGTCTCTGTCTTTCTCCATCTCTGCCTATTTTTCTCTCTGACCCTCTCTGTTTCTCTCTCTTGGTATCGCTGTCAGTTTCTTGCCTGTGCCTCTTTCTGTCTGTGCCTGTCTCTGTCTCTTTCTGTCTGTCTGTCTCTTTGTCAGTGTTCTGTCTCTCTCTCTCTCTCTCTCTCTCTCTCTCTCTCTCTCACACACACTCACTTTCTCTTACACGCATAGTTCGGCCTCGCCCTGCGTCACATGGCAACGGTTAGCGACAATGAAGCCCAGGTTGTGCTCAGACTGAATGGAAAAAAATTAAAATGAAGCGCATTCTTGTGCTGCAGCGCCATCTAATGAAGTTACAACAAAACTAAGTTTGTAAAGATAAGATAAATTTATTTAAACTGCAAATGGGTATAACCCGGCGTCAGTTTATTACATAAATACGATAATACAGCTAAGATGCAAATTATATCAAAATAATAACTAAAATAACATCAATAATAAAAATAATATTGATATAACAACTTGCATAAAACATTACATTACCTTAAGAAAAATAAACTTCTATAATGTAACTTCGTTTTGAATGTTCGTTCAATTAAGACCACACTGCACTGCACTGCCCTTCACTGTGACCCTTTAATCACTCCCTTCATTATTTCTCTGTTCTTCACTGCACGACACACTTCACAATATATCACTTACGCTTCGCTATATAACCTATTATTCTCAGTTAAGTCTCTCACTTAGATATTAGATTTAAATTTTAGATTTATTACTAATTCAGCAATTCAGCCGTTCGAGAACTTGGTGGCAGAATACACTAACTTAACATTACAGAACTTAACATCTTTACAAAATTTACAAACTTTTCCAATTAACGCGAACATTTCACCGTGATATCTTTCGTAGCACTCCACTACAGCACACTTCACTTTTCCGCACTTCGAATCACTGATCTCTAAAGTCTTTCTTACACACATTCTTAGAATAATAATAACGCTATTACATAGCAGACATAGTTACTTACACTGAATAATATTACAGATATTTATAATACACATATCAATATTCAGGAAACTAATTTATTTTTAAAATTGCTCAGGCTTTGAGGAAAGGGATCGAAGATTATCACAGGCAAACCGTTCCAATCTCTAATAGCTCGATTCGCGAATGAATATTTCCCAACGTCCGTTTTGAGAATTCTTGTCTACATTTTGTGTGTGTAATCCGCTCTACCGAAATATGTAGGTTTCCGTAATCGACTTTGAATATCTTTCCACGCTCGACTCCCATTCTTCTTTATTCTTGGTATCCCTGAAAGTAAATGTACGCTCGGCCACTGGACGCTGCACGCTGGACCACTCTGCTGTCTATACCCGAATCTATTAATTTTTTTATAAGACGATCGAGAGGAACAACATCAAAAGCTTTGGCGAAATATATTACTATCGCTTCTACCCTTTTCCCTTCATCAAGTACGTCCGTTCGGTCCTGTAGAAGTGAGACTAGCATACTTTCGCATGAGAAACCATTTCTAAAACCATGCTGACGTTGATAAAGCCCTTCCATTTTTACCTGAAATAGCTTGAAATTAGGAAATTAAATGTTCCCTAAGTTTGTATATGACAAGATGTAAGGTTTACCGGCCTGTAGTTACTAAGTACTGTTGTGTCCCCACTTTTAGAAGTAGGTACTACGAGAGCCAGCTTCCAATCTTCCGGTGTGTAAGCGTTCTTTACAGGTACATAATAATAAACTACTTAAATATGATAGAATAGCCTCTCCACCTAATTTAATAATATCCGTGGAAATACATGGGCCTCGTGATTTGTCTCTCTTCATTAATTTTATTCTAGTATTTACATCAATAGGAAAATACTTCTATCTGCCAGCGTTGGCATCTGAATACTGTTAGGTTTCTGCTTGGAAACGGAGCTAAAATATGGGTTAAAAGCTTTTGCTTTTTTATGTCGTTCGTTATTGACGTATAATTAACACGATCAACTGGAATCTCGTGTTTACTTCCTTTCCTTCTACGAAGTATTTAAAACATACCGACCAATTATTACTGCCCTCCGCATCACGAATATGTTTCAAATGACGTTCCTCTGCCATTTTCTTTTCCTTCCTTAATGCTTTTGAATCATTTCGAAATATTTTAATGTGATTTTCTCTACGGTGTATGTTGCTAAATGCTTCTCTGGTTGTTCTCTTCAATCGCCTAATCTGTGCATTATATTATTCCGGATCGCAGTTAGTTTTTAACAATTTACTTAGTACAAAAGTCTGCACAGCATTTAGAAGATACTAGAATATTTTTAAACGCTCTCCATATATCTTCCATGCCTCCTCCTATTCTAAGAAACCCACCATATTGTTCTCGTAAGTAATTTTGGAAACCTTGTAGGTTCGCTTTCTTGTATTCCCTCACTGGAATACCGGTGACAATCGACTAAAACGGCTTTTTGGTCACTTATACCTTCTAAAACGTCGCATGACAAGAGTAAATTTTTCGGTCTAATTAGGCAAATATCCAGAATCGAGATCAGCTAGGTCGGCCGGTCTATTGTTATTTAAATGAAGCCATTTTCATTTTAGCATCGGAAATGAAATGCTTTAAATTCATTCTTTACATTTGATGTTACTGATGAAAACATTTCGGCGGTGTAATGAATCATCATACTACAAAACTACATGGAGTGTAGTACTATTCAATGGAATTGAGAAACTACATTCCATCGAAACATTTTATTCCAGAAGGAATGTGTAATTATTCTCTTAAATACAGTAACAAGGAAAACACAATTTTTCAACATGACTATATGTAAGTCACATTCATGTATTGTCTACGGATGAAGGATACTAAGACACTTATGGTGAGGTGCAGTTTTGATGTGAACTCACAAATACTGAGAAAAAATAGAGAAGACATTTGAAGAAAGACATGCTCCCTGTTGCAGAACAGCAACTGGAGTGAGCTGGTTGGGCCGGTGGTGGATGACTTCCTGCCTGAGGACGGCGTGTACCTGGGGCGCGATCCGCTGGAAGTGCTCGCCGCTGACGGGTCGCCGGTGCCCGTGCTCACCGGCGTCACCTCCGCCGAGGGCACAGCCACGCTCGGTAAGGGGCACGTGGGCTGCTATGAATGAGAAAAGTACAAGAAAACAGTGGTATGCAAAACACATTCATTCTTTATGGTAAATACTGTGTTTAATAACATTCTATTGAACTTTACACATACTACATTTTCAAATTAACATTTACCATGTGTGAATATTTATGCCCTTCTTTTGCATTACATGAAACAAACATTTTTTTTGCGTCAGCAGGTGGTTGATGAATTTTACAAATTTTTATCAATAATCTATACTAATAAATGTGAATTCAACAACACGTAACCGACATCGATACCATAAAAAGGAGTGTTTGAATAGAACCGAAATTTTTACTTGCTCTTCTTCAGGATCAGTGTCCTTGCTAAGTTTGATAAAAAGTAATACAACAAAATAAATAAATAAAATAATACGATGGTTGATGCACCACTATAATTATTTTTCGCCTGGTATATTTCGCCAGAGGCCAGCAGCGGTGCGGCAAAACCACAGTACACTTATCATACAGTAGCGCAGTTACGTGTTAAAATCTCTACGACGTCGTGATTGTCAGTGACTAGCGTTCCGCACGGCGACAAAGAAACACTAGGCCGATTACATGCGATACTACATTCGTATATACAGCTTCTTTCTGATGAATAGGGCCAAACAGGAAATGTTTATATATTTTAATTTACTCTCGAATTAAATATACAATCGGTGAAGTAGAATTTTTTAACTATTTTTAAGAAAATAAATATTTAAATGTAATGAATGTTGTTTCTTGAAATTGAATAATGCCACGAGAAATAACTATTTTTCTCTCTTTTTCATGAAAATGCCAAGAAACTGATTATCTAAATCAGTCCAAAAACTCACAAATTAAAGACGAGAGTCTGAATGCGTGCAGATGAGAGATATTGAGAGAAGTAAATTTGTGTCTAGAAGGGAAAATAAAAACCGGTGGATACTGATTGTTCATATTTTATTTCACAAATTGTTTGCAAAACTAGATCTAATTTTTTCTTACTAATGACATATTAACATTCCAAATACTGAAATTTAAACATTAGGTCTTACTTTGTACTTGTTGAAGTAATTTTCTGTTGGCAAACTTAAAAAATAGTACATTGTTACTCTCATAAAAAATTCTGAACTATCTAGTTCACTTCACAACAACCACTCACAGAATTGCTTTCTGAGAGATAACAGCTGAGTTTGTTGTGCAATTAATTTTGCCAATTCTGTCATTAAAACTGCTTCAAACGGTATCAATTATTAATTAAAATTGGCAAGACACATATAGGTTAGAAGTTATTTTGAACATTTCAAAGCAATTAACGTTTTTGTTATGTTTTTTTTTAATCTAGGCTCCGACTCAAGTTTTTGCAGTTTTTACAAGGATGCAACTACGTAACTGTCTTTAAAACGAAACTAAAAACATAATACTTGGCATTCATTTCTGTTAAATACATCTTTACTTCCCCACACATTTCTGTTAGAGGTGAATAAACTGTTTTCACTAAATGTAAGGCTGATACTTCAGCAACGCCCTCTGGAAATCAAAACGGCGTTGACCTCACGGGTGTTGGCGTTAATTCAAGATGGCGTCGATATCAGCAATCCGTAGTTTTACTTTGCCTCCACCAGTATCACTAGATGTAAGCGTGCGCATTCTTAACTAGCCAAAATCGAGCTGAGCTGCGTATGACACGTATACAGTGACAGAAATGATACGTAATAGATGATTCCTAATAAATTCCGCCAGAGGCCAGTAGCGGTGCAGCAGAATAGCTACCAAATAGTTCGCTAAAGGCCCGTAACAGTGCTTAAGAAGAAGTATTTTAATCTCATGGCAGTATACTGTAATATGGAATGAAAGTAATTTGTAGTAAGTAAACCTGTCTGAACCGGGACCTGCACAAGCCGAAAACCTGCCTTAATGGCAAAATGTCTCCGACTCGTGAAGTTAATTGGCATTTTACACTGCATGAAATGTAACCTCTCCAACGCGGAAACGGAACGGTTTTTGATGTCCTGCAGAGAAAAAAATATAAGACGGAATTCCCTTGTATTTAATGAAATTGACAGGGAGACGGGAAATTCACAATGAAATGGATGCATCTGCAAGCTTGTTTTAATTTCTCTATCCCTGTGATACGCAAATTAGTCGTGGCAACGGGGCATTGAAGTAGTGGGGTAGCAGCTGTCAGCGTAGAATTCGCTTGTATCTCAAAACGTAGGCCGAAGGGGTGTTCTCTCTCTCCCGACTGAGCGAGAGAGGGTGTACGGGCATGGCTTCTATTCACGCGTCTCCCTGCAACGCGTTGAAAATCATAAACCCTTGACGAGATAAGCATTGCTCAACGTCATGCGAGGGTATCAGAAAGTCATAGTACTGGGTTGTGACGCATAGTACTGTCAAGAAAGCTGTAAATATAGAGTGTTTAATATTCATTTATTGATGATTTCTTCCATAAATACGATATATGTTAATGTACTTAGTTAATTATAATAAAGTAATGATTATTTAATACTTATATATATATATAATTTAATACTTTAGGGTTGAAATGTCAATATCACAAGTGTCATAAAGTGGACAACCTTGCATAAAACGGGAACCTCCCTAAACCGTATTTTTTTCTGTCCCGATCGATTCCGGTTTAAACAGATTTTACTGTATTTTATTTAAACTTGAAAAAATTGCTTTAAAATAATCTTAAACACCGTGGTTTAGATAATATTGATATTTTTCCTCTTTCACAAGGATTGGATATGAAGAAAGCCCAGACAACGTCGAGTATTTGCTTAGCTTTAAATAAAAAGACCCCGATAAATGAAGTTCAAAATTAGCCCGATTACTTTTGAACCGAATTAATTAAATACCGAATAATATGAGCCCATGAAGTTAGAAGACATCTACGGTGCGAAACTTTCTCGGGGGTTCGTTTTCTCCCAATCGACCAGTTACACCCGTAGACAAGTCGCGATCACTCCCGGGCTAAAGAGAATCTGTGCGCCGCGCAGTCCAAACACCAGTGCAAGATCAGTTGCCTTCCCATCAAGGTCAAATGTCACCTGCAAAACTATGGTATGTGAGATTTCCAGCCACGTGTTCAATGGTCACAAGTTGTCATTTTCTACCTATGCATATTCTAGAAATTTGATTTTTTTCTTCGGAGACATTCTGTATAAATACTTTCTATTAGAAACGAGAGAGTCTTGTTTTGTTTGATGTCAACTCACCTGTGCCAATGAAATTATTTAATCCTTCTCATAAGCCCCAAACATTGAAATCGAACCGTCTCCCAACCGACAGTAATGAAGGTTTTTTGTAGGGAGTTTGTTCACTGCCGTTAGAGCGGTAAAATCTACAATCTCAAGCTAGAAATGAATGGTGTGCACTAGATAAACCAATTTTTATGAGGGTAAATGAAATCTGGATTGTCAAACTGTATAGAAATGAAATTTAAGTGTACAGGGGGCAGTATATCAAGATTCACCTTTAGAACTTCATGGTTCTAATTCACTACCTGTTTAATATCATATGTTACGTTGAATATTTAATGGTTTATACATTTTTACATTCTTGCTTCAGCTACCGTAGTAGACAGAGTGCTATGTAATGCTGCGCACAAAAACGGTGGATTTCCGGCAGAAAAAACTCATTGTAAGGCCCTGATAACGAAATATTGACAGAATGGCTCAGACTTTCCAGTATTAGTTTTTTATTTCTATTTGTCTCGGCTATATATTCGGCCTTGCCACACATTCTTGTCAGCTTCCATCTATCGCCGTCCAAAGTAGCCCATTTTTTTTAAATATTCTTAATTTTTTGGTTTCCTAATAGTAGAACAGAAATATTATTTTAAGAATATTAAATAACAATAAAACCTCGTCCTAAATGTCAATTTTCTTTAAAAAATTTAAAGTCGTTTTTAATAAATGGTGTTTGAGCGTTATAGAGAATTCGAAAGTTGAAGCTCTTTTTCACAGAAAATTTTCGAAAAACTACATTTGGTGTAATTTCAAACACATTAACTCACATATACAATAGTGTTTACAATTTGTTGGAAATGAGCATATTAATGGTGTGAGTGATCTTTCAAACAAATTGTATTTGTGTAATTTTTGAAAAAAGCATAAAGAGTACTCCAAAATGCACTTCATGCCATATTAAAAGTGCAATTAGCCCTATCCGTTCGAACATTTTAAGAAATAATTTTGAGCCATTTATGAGAAAATTGTGTTTGAGCGTTTCTAAAAATGCGAAATTTTGAGCCAATTTTCACAAAAAAATTGAGTTTTTGAAAAACTGTTTATGTCATTATTTAAAGCATATGTACTCATCAATATATACTAAGTTGAACAAATTGCCGCTAATGTAAATATAAACAATGTGGGAGACCAGACGAAAAATTACATTTTTGTATTTTTCGAAAAACAACAACAAAAGATTAGAACAACATGGCGTTTATGTCATCTCATAGAGTACATATTGTTTATAATTTTTTATTTTATTAGTTTTTATAGTTTTTAATTTTTGATAATAGTAACCATAAATACGTTTTTACGCAAAAACCAAAATATGACCGAAATTTTTGTTGTTGTTTGGCTATCAAAACTTTTCCTGAAATATTTCGATGGGGTTTCGACGGGGAAACGTAAGGTTTTCATACTAATAACAATAGAAACAAAAGAAGGAAATAAAATCTTCTACCTCACCTTTTGCAAAGCAAAATGACTTATCGACTGCTCTATGTTGTTATAGCCTTTCTCTATACAATAATCACAGGCTATTTAAATGATTTCTGGCAAATAATGGCGTCTCTAAAACAGTTCTACTTTCCATTATTGATTATAAGAAAGTGTTATGCACTATATATGACGTTTTCAAAGTATCCCAGAAAAATTATTCACCCGTTATGAAGGCAGAAAATGGCTGGCTCATGATTCATGAGAACTGAGCGCTTAAAGTAGCGTAAAAGCATTTGTTTCGCCTCTATTAATAAATAAAGCCACGCG